GGTAACCCCCAAGACGCCTGGGCCTGCCGCCTCGGCGGATCCCGGGGTCTGAAAACTGGTCCTGCGCACTTCTCATCTCCGGTTCCTCAGACCCTGCACAAGAGTGAATGCCGCTTGCAAGTTGCAGCGACCAATTTCAACAAGAACAGGGCTTTGGAACTTAGAAGCTTGGATTTTTGGTTCTGCATCTCGGGTTCCGTGTTCCCGATTTCGGATTTGGAAGCTCAGCTTCGATCGCAGGTTCGATATGGTCTTCCGAGCATGCGAGACACGCCCTGCCAAGGTGCGACAGCCTCGGCGGAGGGATTTGGGGGTTGAGAGTTTTTTTGTCGGGTTCGGAATGATCGACAGGTTCGCCCTAAACCGCTGCACCCTTAACCGGTGGTATATGGTGGTATTTTCGCGGATGGTGTGGTTGTGTCCTCCTCTCCTGTTGGACAGCGGCGTCGCCTGCAGTGTCCGAGTGTGAGCGCCGAAACCCTAACCCGTCTTGGTTTATACTCAGCCCCTACATTGTCACATGTCGCCAGGCAGGGCGCAGAGTTGCAGGGCTTTGATCACAGATACATATAATTAGTCTCCATTGTAGTCTCTCTTTGGTCCATTTATGATCCCATAAAGGTAGCCCAACACGGGAACTACAATGGAGACGACTTCCTTGTCTTTCTTTCCCCCACGGCACTGGCATCAAAAAGCTCCCGGCCTGAGTCGTTTGCGGGTTTCTGGTTTTGCGAGAAGGCTCTGCTGTTATCAAGTGTCCCCTGACACTCTGTCCAAGCCCATGCTTAAGGATTGTCTTAGAGCTCCCAAGCCCCACGGGCTCGAGATCTCCCCCACCGGGTGTTGGAACAAATATTTGAAGCCATTGGTCGGCAGTGGAGGCGGGTTTAGGATCGAACCGACATGTAAAGGCGGAAATGCGAGCCAAGCAGGGCAAAACCGCGGTATCACCCTCAAGCCAATGCCGCGATTCCGGACCTTCTAGGCTTTGGACTCGGGCCTATAATTTCTTGACGGCTCTACTGGAATTGTAGGACTTTTGCTTGGCCTCTTTTTGGAGCCTGAGGTTCATCAATGATCAGATGCCTGGGGCCATCATGACCAATGAGGTCATCAATGTACCTTGCCTGCATGGTACCTACGGTTAGTTGTAACGTTTTTCACTATGCAGCGTGCCGAGTGCTCGGTTCTTCTTGGGACCCTGCCCCGCCCGTCGTGAGCACTCAAGCCGTCCTCCGGCCCGACAGCTTCGTGGTTGCCTAGGTGGCTGCCTTCCAGAAGGCTGCAGCATTTGGCTTTGTTGACCGAGCAAGTAGGGCGCCCAGAGCTTTGCGGTGTTGGGGCAATAAGGTATCGGGAGCTTGGGCTTCGGAGGGTTTCGAAGTAGGATGCTGTGGTGGTGTTTGAGACGGCCGAGCGGGCCAAGCTAGTCTGGACTGAAATTTCTCAGGGCCTTGGTGCTCCAGGCTCTAGAGCAGTCAACCTGGAACGGTAAACCCTGTCCCTGCTCCCCAACGAAGGGAGCTGCGATGACTCCAGGCGCGGACACAAGCGGACAGACAGCCAGCGTTTCCTCCGAATTTCGGCTTCTTGCCTTACGCTAGGGTTTTGGTGTTACCCATGCAGCAGATGCTTGACTGGCTCAAGCGTCCCTCGCAGGCTTGCCTGCAACCGATTGCCTTGTCCTGCGAGGCAGATCATGAACGACGGCTTTTAGGTGGGCTGCCTGTCCAGTCGAACCTCCATGGTGATGAATGCTTTGCTTCACGCGCTGGCAAGCGTTCCGGTGCCCAATGTGGCTGGAGCGCTATTGTGGCCTTATGATTGCGTTGTGAACTGGCGATTGGAGACGTTCCCTTGCCTATTCGCAGATCAGCCGCCCAGATTCCTTCCCGCGCTCTGGACGGTTGGTCCGATAGAGGAAAGGACGAGGACCGAATTCTGGCTTTCTGTTGTCTTGCTCTCCCCGGTGCTCATGGCGATGCTGTGTGAGATTTTCCGGATGCTCACTCTGATCTTCAAGAAGAAGCCAGGAGATGCAAGCGCCTTCAACTTGGTGGCTACATTGGAGTTGGCGGAAGGTCAAGAGGTCACAGCCCGCCATCCATTCGCAGGTCCCAAGGGGTGCTTCACGGCGGGCCTTGTCCTGTACCATATGATCTGCGCTGGAATAACTTGCATTGCAGCTACTTGCAACTGGTACTCCCCTAAAGGCGTAGGCAACATTGCCTGGGAACTCTGGGCCTTGTGGCAGCAACTCTGCTTATGGTCACTGTTCTTCCAAAATGTGGTTCGTTGCTGCTGGATGGATGCGAACGCTTTGCAGATGTCCACATTTAAAAGCGTGCTTCTCTACACCGTCCCCATGGCCAGTGAGCTGTTCGACACCATGAAGGACTGGGTGATTACTGGATTCTGTTTCCTGCAACACAGCAGCATTGCCGGCTACGTCTGTGGGACCTTGGTCATTGTGATAGAAGTCCTTGGTCTCGCTTGCAACTGCTTGCCACATCATGTCAGAATCACGGACTCGATTCGCATGAGCCCCCCCGCGTCCTATTTGATGTTGTTCTACGGGACAATCATTGTGGTATATATGGGTGGATCGCTGGCATTGTGGGTTTTCTACATCATTTTCTACGTCTTTGCCGGGCTGTGGATAGTGGTCAGTTCGTTTCCACTTACTACGTTCCTTGTCCTTCTGTTCATCGTTATTTATCTTTGTGCCGACCGTGAACAACCTATGCTCCTGCAAGATTTGGTCGCATGTTTGTGTCCGCTTCTTTCGGGGTGTTGTGCGCTCGTCATTTTGGTCGTGCTCGTGCTCGCTCCGATCTTGCCTGGCCTGGCGAATGACATGAAGGCAGATTTGCACGGCATGTGGCGACAGTTGTGCTTACTCGAGACCCCGGAAAAATTTACAGCGCAAGTACGTGGCTTCATCATAGATGCTTTGCAATTCTTGACCAATGCAGGGCTCTTGGGGCTACTCTCAGTTTACGTTGTCGTGTCTTCGTATATCCAGGTGAACCTGCATGAAGACTGTGCGCAGGATTTGCGCAAGTCGTACTTTCCCATTCTACTGCTGCCTTTGAAGAAGGCCCCAAGCGTCTCTGAGACCATCACAGAGCGGCTGACGCGAGAGGCCAGCAATTTCTTCGTAGACTTCATCAGCAGCTCGCGATTGATGATTGCTTGGGCAGAGGACTGCCCACAAGCGTTCATCGGGGTGGCCCTGAGCATTCGGTACACCATGCCTGACAAAGGCATCAAGGGCCTCGGGTTTGCAGGCTTCTCAGCCGCTGTGAGCACCGCAAAGGCCATCTTAATTCCGTTGGGACAACAAGCGGTACTGGAACAGCGACGGAGGGATGTGAGGCAGGAGTTGGAAGCTCTTGTGACTTCGGAGTCATTGGACCAGTTCGCAAGGGACTCGCTTACCTCTACAGTGGTCCAGAGGAGTGAAATAACGAAAATCCTACAAGGGCACTTATTGAATTCGTCAGAGGATGTGTTGACGCGCTGGAATGTGGGACTCCGTGAGCTGTTTCAGCCAATCATCGCAGAGCGTGACAAATGGGTGAAGGACAACACACGAGAGAAAGAGCACGAACTTGTTACCTGCCTGCTTCCGTTTTACAAAAAAGCAGGCTTCTCAGCTGACGATATGCAAAAAGCAGGTTATGCTGACCATGATTTGAGAGAGGCAGGTTTTTTTTGAGGAGCAGGATTTTCTAAATTTTGTTTTAAGTCGCACGATCAGCGTCAATGCAGTTGTGACATCAGGCTCGGCTGTATTAGGTGAAAGAGGCAGCATTGCAAAGGAGAGCAGTGCAATCAAGTTGAGAGAGCACAATTGCTTGTGTTGCTGCGTGTTCTTGAATCTCGTGCCGAGCTAGCGTCATCAAGAGTCAAGAAGCGGGCTTAAAACAGGCTTGCTGATATTTTCATTATGAGAGCTTTGGTTTCACATGATCGCTGCATTGTGTTTCCGGAAGCTTCGGTCCTTTGTCGAGGTTGCTGGAGCAGCAACATTTGCTCTATGCAGAGGGAGCTCTTAGCCTTAGGTTGCACGAAAGCACCTTAAACCACAGAAAATGTATAGTCATCGGAAGGGCAGATGTTGCTGATGCAGCGGTGAGATTGCCACGACCCAGCGGATTGCTGCAGCGTGGCGATTCTTGGAAGGGTATAGCCTTGCTCGGAGCGCGACCTCAAACCGACACTGGACAGGCGGAGACATGAAGAGAGCGAGTTTGCAGATGCTGCCTGCCACATTTCCGGGGGGGCTGAGGCAGGAGGTACATGAGCAGCCTCTAAGCCCGTTCTCCAATCCCCTCTAAGTGCCAAGGCTTGCTTGCGCTCTTCGCCGGCTTCGTGTGGCCCTTGGCCGTTGTTGGAGAGCTGCCTACAGGATCCTACGGGTAGGATTCACGTACAGAGTTCCCGACCAGGTCCCGAACCCCCCCCCCCCCCATCCCTGCAGGCTCCGCGGTGAGTGCGTGTAGGCAGCCACACAGCATGGACGTTTCTGCACTGCCACGAGTGTTCTGCGATCGCAGCTGCGCAGTAGGGGCTTATAGGGTCCAGGGCTCAGTGTTGTGCGAGGTGTCGCCGTTAGTGCCAATGTAGCCATTCTTTGCTAACTCGGGTGCTACCACCTCAAAATAATGATGTTCCGGATAAGCATGTGCAAGCTGCGGCAAAGAGCGTGCGGTGCGTGCAACCCGTGGCTAGATGAGAGACAGTCGTGCTTGACGTCAGAGTCGTGTAGCCTTGCAAGTGCCAAACCACAAGAGATTTTTCTGCATCCAACTCGGCCCCATGCGTTGAAGTCTGAGCATGTTAGCACAAGGATTCATCGTTGCATACCAAGACCTATGTACATGCAAGCTGTCTGTGCACGGAGGCGACTGGAGGCGATCTGGCGAAAGGTTCCGTGGGCTGGGCGCTGAGGTGTGCAGGAACAACACTTTCAGTTCTTTCCGCGCGATGCGCCGAGATCCAACGACCCTGGCCCAAGCTTCATGCTTCTGGTTCATCGATGGCTTGAAAAACGGCTTCGCAGGGAGTCGTGCCGAGTTACCCCAGCGCAGATCAAGAAAGGGCTCTTGCCATGTCTGCCGGGATACAGGCCGAGCTAGAGAGACAAGTCAGAGAGCTCCACAGCGCGGATCCGTCGGTGCAGGCAGAGGCCGCCAAAGCCTTACAGGAACTGACAACGAGCTATGGCCACGAAGATGCCGTCGTGAGATCTGGGGCCCTTCCACGGCTGATTGAGCTGATGGAGAGGGGAACGGTAGGGGTTCAAGAGAGGGCTGCAGCCGTGGTGGCCAACCTGGCTGTGGTCGTTGAGACTGCCAGAGCTGCAGCTCAGGCCGTCGCGCCGCTGGTGCAACTCCTGAGCCGTAGCCGCCTTGCCAAAGAGATTGCGGCCGAGGCGCTGGCGAACCTTGCTGCGAACCCTGGCGAGCAAAGGGGGACCATAACGGCGGCCGGAGCGCTGGGGCCGCTGGTGGAGCTCGTGAAGGACGGCAGCAGGCTTTCGCAGGAGAATGCGGCTTCCGCGCTTCAGAATCTGGCTGCAGATCATCCGGAGAATGCGAGGCTCATCACGGAGGCTGGGGCCATCGGGCCGCTCGTCGAGCTTCTGAGGCTGGGAACCCCTCTTGCCCAGGAGAGGGCTGCAGGGGCGCTCTTGAATTTGACGGTGGACCCGGACAGCGAGACTGCAATGGTTCGAGCTGGCGCCGTCCGCCCTCTCCTGAAGCTTCTCACCCGCTTCCCGCCTCGGCCTAGAGCCCAGCAGCGGGCCGCGATGCTTCTCTCGTCCCTGGCGCGACAGCACACCCTGGAGATTCTGAAGCACGGCAACGCCATCAAGCCCCTGGTGGAGCTCCTGAACTGCGGAAACTCCGCCGTCGAGGAGAGCGCGGCCGACGTGCTCTTCGTGCTGACGCTTCATCCCAGAGGCTGGTCCGAGGCCAAGGGCTTGGGGATGCTGGGGCGCGCCCACGAGTCCCAGAGCCCCAAGGTGCGGCTTCTCGTGGATCCCACGTATCGCAAAAACCCGGGCCCAGGGAAGACGAGCGAGCTCATCGCCTTGGGCTTGGGAAGCGGCGCAGCGGCTTCCTTGTACATCTAGTTGCCGGGCCCACTTTTCTTGGAGCAAGTTGCGTTAGTTCACCCGGCGAAGCCGGATGAGACGCCCTGGCTGCTGTCAGGGAGATAGACGTAGGCTCGAACCCAAAAGGGTTACTGGAGTCCTCCTGTCTTCCCCTTAGATCTGAGCAAGGGATCTGGAAATCCGCCCCGCGTCGTCCGTGAGTTCCGGGGTTGTGGGTTACAGCCACCTGCAGGAATCCAGACCGCAGAAGCTCGAAGACAGTGGCCTTCAGCCGCAGTGTACCCGAAGCCCTAGGACCTAAGCCGGAGACTCCCAAAGTTTCCCCGAAGAATGCCCAAGAAATCCTGAGCCCCGACCGGTAAGTCCTGGGCACAAAATTCAGAGGCTGCAAGAAAGCAAGGTTTCCTTTGGAGATACCTTGCAGGACTCTGCAAGGATTCCTCTACAAAGGCTCCTTTGAGGATTGTATAAGGGCTCCAGGTTTCCTTCTGGTAAGAATTCCTTTTTGAGGGTTGTAGACTACGAGAAGGCTTGATTTTGTGTACCTCCCTTGATGGTGCTGGCAGCTAAGTGAAGACTAAGCCCTCACTCCCCACACCATGAAGCCGTAAAGGGCCCCAAACTCCAAGTGCCGCGTGACGGTGATTCGTAACCCCAGCTCCGAGCGATTTGCCTGGCTTCTTTCTCTAGCGCCTTGACCGCGCGAGTGCCTCAGTTGAGAGGGCTGCTCCTTGGAACCGTTCCGAAGACTCGAGAGCCTGAGGTTGGCGACGAAAAGGCTTTCGAGTGACTTTCCTCCTCAGCCTCCAGCAATCCTGCGATCTTGGCTGTTCGGATGGGTGAAGGCTCTCGGAATCTTCGACCGGAGAACTCTGCATCAACTCCTCACGGACCTGGCCTTCAGTTTGCGGGCAGACGAGCATGAGAGTTGTTGAGAATCTTGTTGTGCTCAGACAACGAGCACTCTGCCTGACCGCTGTCGCAATTAGAACGAGGGTCGACGTTGACCGAGCAGTTTTTGCTAATGATTGCCAGCATCGCAAGCCTTAAGCTTTCGGCAAGAGTCTTCATTGTTCGAGTCCGGAGAACGAAGTCTCTCTGCTCGAAACCCTGTCGCATTCGGACAGCGATCGTGCCATCAAAAAGGCGGCACTGATCCAAGTCACACGAGCAAGTCTCGGTGTGCGCTTCTTCGAGGAGCAACAACAGCCACCAGTCCGAGGAGCTTCAGATTGTGGGGCGAACCGTCCTGAAAGCTGAGTGACGGAAGGAAGGCATGTAGGATCTCGTGTCCAAGAGTCTCGAAAAATCATTCGCGCATCTGATGTGCTGGTGGTCGTGAAACAGCAGAATCGCAATCACATTGAAGCCAGCATCGGCATTTGACACTCGGGACTTACAAACACTTGAACCCTGAAGGAAGAAGTGCGGTTGAAGTTGGGTCCAAGCCGGCTGCCAGGAGTGAGGTTTCCGCGAACCCTGAACCCATCATAAATCCTAATTAAACCGGGAACAGGACCCTTGTGCGGTTGTGGGCCCGAGATTGAGAGGAGAGCACTCAGTCTCGGCGAATGAAATGCGAGCTGCGAGTCTTCCTGCCGCCGCGCCGCCCTCTCGAAGGATTTTCCTGGTATATAGGGCGTGGAGGTGAATGCAAAGCATGCTAGGCCTATAGGCCAATGGTTGAGAGACACCCTACTAGTAGCCCTCAGGCGGTCAATCAGGTCTCAGGTGCCGTAGGCCGCAGGCTGCTGAAAAGGCTGTTGAGCCCAAGCTGCATCCACCTGTCCATGCCACTAACGGGGAGAGGGAGATCCCGTGCCGATCCTTGGCAGCAGTGGACAGTGATGCTCCAGGGTTGAAATCAGACGGAGATGGCCTCCCTGTCCACCTTTCGGAGCTTGTGGGATGCCTTGCCTGTTTAAGATGCAGTCTCGGAAAGCAGCCACTGCCAGGACACGCCCTACAATCTTAACGCCTTGACCGCTGACGAGGCACCTGTATCTGAGCGAAGGGGGCATAGCAGAAGCGAAGGAAAGGTGTGCATGCTTACGCATGCGCGCAGGGTGTGTGAGTGTGTGTGTCTCTCTCTCTCTCTGTTTGGGTTCTTGCCCGTCTTTGTATTGACGTCTAGATATCATGTACAGCAACAGTGCAGTCAAATGCAACAGTGAGAGTGAGGGTGGGGCGAGGGGGAGAGTCGCAGTTAGAGCAAGAGAAGAAGGAGAAAGGATGTGTGGGTATGTACGGTAAGGGTAACGCTAAACTGAAGCTTTAGCCTGGAAGTCAGGGGCAGCCACGGAGGCATAGTTCAGAGAAAAAGAATAGTCGTGACTACATGTCAGCACGAAGATCTTGAGGGAGGCATAGTGGAAATTTGTGGAAGTTATAATAAATTGTCAATGACGCTGTGCAGGGCATCAGCGACAACTCTGAAGAGGACTGCTCCCCGGCACATGGGAAGCCTGCAGTACCCGTCCCATAAGCAACTCAAAGGCGTGCCACCTATGTGTCTGCACATGCAAAAACAGCTGTATTACGGCAGTGGGGTGTGGCTATGCGCGGCCAGTTTTTACGCGTGCCGGGAACAGTGTTGGTGTCAAGCCCGAGGAACCCGGCCCGGATACCCCAGGCTGAAGAAGTACATGCTTTTACCAGCACGATCTTTTCCTGCCATCAAAACGACGACGACTATCACTACTAGTAGTAGTACTATTCTTCTTTCTTCTTATTATTATTATTATTACTACTACTACTACTACTGCTGCTGCTGCTGCTGCTACTACTACTGCTACTACTACTACTACTACTACCACTACCACTACCACTACCACTATCACTACTACAACTACTGCTACCAGT